GTCGGTCGGCAGAACCGAGCCCTTAAGAACACGCACTCGGCCGGGGGCGGAAATTGGTTCTCCGCCCAGGGGTTAATTCACGTCTCGGCCGGGCGAGGACAATAAAACGGCGCGGGGGTGCGGGGGTGGTATCTTTGAGACACCCGAGAGGCACAGGGACCAATTATTCCCCGGGATGGAATACATTACGCGAGGGTGCACCTCCTCGGCGGGCCGTTAATTATTTATCCCGCGCCGGTCTCGCCGCGACGGACGAGACCGTGGTCGTTTCATTATGCATGCCCTCCGCTCCGGAAACGGCGGTGACAATAAAGTTTGATACACCGCCGCGCGGTTTTCGCCATTCAATTCAAATCCCGCTTTATCCGCGTGTGCCCGACCGAGGGAAACGTCGCCGGGCCCGAGCATGCGGAAAGGGCTTCCGGATTGCGGAATTGCGCCGCGTCGCCCGGCCTTTTGTCGCCGCGCTCTCCGCCAGGGTGGAGGTGCAGGTGGGGGGCGTAATCGCGCACCGCTGTGAAGAAATTATCCTGAAACCCTCGCGGAGGGGTAAGTACCTTTGGAAGGCACTATCGATTAAGGTGATGCGAAAGGGGTGGAGGAAATTTAATCGACCTCGACAAATAAGAATTCTGATATACCGTTTAAGGGGATGGGAAAGTGGCATCCGAAAGCTCAATCGTTCGTGAACACTTTTCTACGACCTGGGTGTACCGAATCGTTTCAAACATTACAGCGTGAAGGTGGAGGCTACAAGGGAGGTCCTGACCCTCATGGAATTTCATTTTTTATCAAAAAATTTCTTTATTTCTCATGGACTAGAACAAAAGTTGAGTGTTCTAAAATGACTTTACCACCAAACAGGGTATACATGAATTGTACTTTATCGACGTCGATGAAATTTCTCAGCGCCCTTCATATCACCCTAAAGATTACTCGCACCTACCCATGTGGAACGTGGTGAAGTTTCAGATTGCGGGGACTAAGTGCAGATTTCTGAGACGATGACCCTGGGTCAATTTCAGTTCAAGGGTTAAAAACGTTCCTCGCTATCTCCGGAGAAAGTTAGGATGCAGATCCGCCGTAGGTGTCCGAAACGACTCTTCGGATGATAAACCTAACGAGTACCTCTGCCACGGAGAACCTCCACCGCTCGCGGCCCGAAGATAACAATGGACCTATTATTACACCCGGCACGGATACGAGGATCCCGTTTGTAGGAAAGCGAAGTTCGCGGTGCCGGGCAGATGTTGCATTTACCTTGAAAACGGCAACCCGGGTCCGTCCGACCGCTATCACGACTCGCGAGGCCGGTTGTTCCGGGCGGCGCCTCGGAGATACACCCCGGAATTACGAGGAAAGCTTGAAACGGTTTCGACGAGAAGTTTGCCCGGTTCGGGGCGAGGGGGAAAGGGGAACGAAAGTAGAAGAGAAGAGAGCGAGAAGCCAAATAGCGGCCCGGCGTTTTCCATCCGGAAGTTGAAGACCAAGACGCGAATTACTCTGAGGCTCGACGAGCACGGAGAAAAATATGAGCCTTCAATTTTTACAACCTGCAAATTATTACATTGTTCTTACTTCGCGTGATCAATCGATTGATAAATCGATAGGGTTAAGCGTCCAAGTTCGGATAAAGTCGGATAAAAATTCGCGTCTTCTGAGGTTCGCTTTACAGAAAAGACGTCCCCTGCGCCCGTAAATTGTTACTACCTGCAAATTATTACATTGTTCTTACTTCGCGTGATCAATCGATTGATAAAATATCAATAGGGTTAAGCGTCCATCAAGTTCGGATAAAGATTCGCGTCTTCTGAGATTCGCTTTACAGAAACGACGTCCCCTACGCTGAGAGTGCGAAATAGTTACTTTCCTTACGGGCGTAAGAAAAAAAAAATGTTAAAAATTTTAATAAACGCTTAAGAATTAAAACATAATTTGGTAGACGATAAGCGCGGATATCTTGTCCCCGTCTTCCGGCGCAGAAGGGAGGCGGGAATAACTCTCGCGTTTAATCCAGAAATGTACGTTCGTCATTACGTCGAGCCGGTCCGATTCAATCCGACGAGTCGAGATGGAGCCGAACGTCCGTTTCCCCGAGGTTAAATAATTAATAACGAGGCGTACCACACCTGCGGTTGAGCCGAGTATTCAACGTCGAGGGCTTTGCGAACTCCGCGGACGGAATTCGCGATTTCCAGGGCGAGTATCAACGGACCCCCCGCGTAGTGGAGACGGCGCGTTGGAAAACTACCCAATGATGGGAAAACGAGATAAAAGGGAATGCTCCGAAGCCGTTCATCGATTTAACGGCCAACGCTTCTCGATAGTCTCGTTCGATCGACTTATCGACTCCCCCGGGTCTGTCTGCGGTAAATGCACGATTATCATTCCAGAAGTGAATTCGAGTAAGTGCGAACTTCCCTGATAAAATTCGACGAAGATTAACATACATTTTTACACACTTCATAACTAAAGTTTCCCATAGAGAAACGTAAAATGGAAGAATTAAAAAGAGTACAAATACACCTCACATTGGGTATTTACCGTATTGGAGCATTTTTACTTGAATTTAAGGTAACGTTATATTATAATTTTCTATAGTTTAACTCAAATGCTGAATGTGATATTACAGAGAAAATGGAATTTTACTGTAATTTATGCATAATGGAAAGTATTCAACGACGTATGAGAGCATAAAACATCTTATGCCCTTGGCATATGAAATTCCAGGTTAGTGGACGAAACAATTTTAGTCATTGACGTAAGGTTTAATCGTTTAATAACTAGGTAAATAATCTCCTGCGAAAAAAGTCAGGAGAATTTCGACAACTTCCCCCAGTTTCAAGGATTACCAGGAGTTTTGGGACCGCGGGTACATATGAAAAAAAAAAAAAAACAGAAGCCTCGAAGGTGAAAACTCGTTGAAGTCATCCCTTCGAGTACCCTGTCTCCTAGATTACCATAAATCTCCATGGGGTTACTCGCGATAAGACCGCACGTCGGGGGAGGGAAAAGGTCTATGGGGTCTTTTAAATTAACTTTCCTTTCTTCCCGCACGGTTAGATTCCAGTCGGGGAAGTTTATGAAATATTTCGAGCTCACGAGGAGAGACGGGCCCCCAGGGAGGGCGGACTTCTTTGACGACCCGATCCCGCCGAAACGGGGGATTGATATCAAGTGGGACCCAAATGAGTCCTTGAAATATTAAACGCAACAAGTGTAAATATGGCGCGACGAGCCCTCGCGGGAAATGAGAATTTCAATGATGCGACGAGTCGAATACTTTACCAACTCGAGTTGTTCGAATTCGAGAGCATTGCCAACTCGAGTCGATAACTCGATGCCACATTCGACGCGGTAATGACCTAGGTTTCTCGCAGTGGCTTGCATTAACCCCTTAACGCACAGGTTTAAAAAAAAAAACTGGCCAAAAAAAATCAATTTTTTTATGTAAAAAAAAACACTAGAACATTGTCTTGGCAAAAAAATAAAATTCTGGATTATATTCGAGGGTGAAAAATTATAGTAGCATAAAATACAACGCCGCTCGAATTATCTCTAGTGTGCACAGTTTGGCCTGTTTAGCGCCCTCGAATTAACTCGAGCGCACAAGTTAATTTGCGCAAGTAAATCGCGGGTAGTACTTATACTGGCAGTTATTTAGATTGAAGTTCGATTCCCCGAAGCTAAACTATCTAATTTCCCTGGTTAGTCTAAACGGCGGTTAATGGATATTAAGCAACGTGCTACTCGTAATCGAGGATTTGCATTTTAACCGAGGCTGGTGGAACCGGGCACTACCCTCGTAGCTCGCATTCGTTCGTACCGATAACGCGAATTACAATGAATCAAGTTGAATGGAGGTACATGCTTGACTCGAGTTTAACGAGTTAAAATACTCGATTCGTCGCACCACTGGAGACTTTACAAGTCGAGGGACCGCGAGAGAAGAAAAAAAATAGGAGAAAAAGTGGCGGTCGGGGGGCACTATTCTCGCGAGCACTCTCCCGAGTCTCGGTACATCGATTTTCACGTAAGAACTCCGTCTGCGAGTCTGGCGGAGCTCTTCGTCACCGAGAACGTTTCTCGGCCGAGTGTTCGTATCCAGGCCGATTTTACGATTTACAGCCGTAGTTAGCATTCCGCTCGCCCCGCGACTCTCGGTCAGATTTCGATATTTCCCGCGATCGATCGCGCTCGCAATATGCCTCTCCCGAGGCTTTTCAGAGTCCCAATCTTGAATGGCCAGACTACTTCCACATGGACGCAACGAATGGTTGCGTAACCGTAATCTGTGGCGTTTCCCGCATACATATGGCATCGCGCGTGCATGTATGTATATACGTATGCAAGTGTGTACATTTGGCGCGACACTCTACCGCGTTTCCTGATAATTCACCCGTAACGATAAATCGTGACGATATGTAACACGTGCAGTTACATCGAGTTCTTCCATGACGGCAACGCGTTATTCACATATTAATTAAAAATCGATTTGCACAGATTTCTGACAACGATATATCGTTAACCTCCATTAGAGTGACGCATGTGAAATCAGGTCGAGAGGGCGAACTGAATTTCAAGAAACGGTACGCGTTTCTTGAATGCTTAGGTTTCCCTGATACGAGAATCTTACTTACCCCTACAGCAAACTCCTGTCGAAACATTTCTTGTAAAAATGTCGAAGAAACTTGCGGGTACTGGAGTTTAGGGGTGCAATGGTAACGGTTTAGAAGTCGCGGAGTTTAAAAATATCGTATGGTGGCGTCATCTCCCGAAGTTTTGCCGAACCGACGCTAGTGGCGCCATCTCTCAAAGCAGCTCTGAACTTGTACTACTAGCCCCATCTCTGCGCGCCAACGTGAATCATTTCTGACATTTCATCGGATGATAAAAACTTCTCCTTTGAATTTGTATTATAAGTGTATAGCCTGTTACCAGCAGTGCTTCCGGGTTCATGCAATAATTGCCAACACCAGATTTACAATAAAAAATCCTACCTTTTTGTCGAAGGGGTGTTGCAGAACCTGCGATTGCAGACGTTTCGGCTTCCAATGGATCTCCGCGATTCTTCACAAACTGCCAGTCCTCACGAAGTTTCTTCAACTTTTCCTGTAAGCAGTATATGAGACGTTATTGAGATAAAATCTATTAACACTTGTACTTAGAATTCAGCAAGATACCCAGCCAGTGTGTACTTACTTGAAGTTCAACAGAGACTGGTTGCTTCGCCGACTCGCATTCCTTTTCTAAATTGGTGTAATTTTCCAAAACATCTTTCACCTCCATCTCGCGATCCATAACACTAGCCTGTATTGACACAAAGTGTAACATAATTTGTTAGAAATACGTACTATAGAAGTATTAAAAATATCCAATTGGTATGTACCATTATATTGTCGATGACCTTGGTACGCTCTTGTTGAGGTAATTCACGAGAAATATTAAGCCTGGTACGTGTTTCCATAACCCATGCCATTATGGCGTCCAAACTATGTATATATTTCTTCAAGGATGTAAGTTTATTCTCTACGTATTCACGGTGGGCAGAAAGATTCGCCTTCACCTGTAAGAATTTAACAAAATGTACATCTATGCACCAAATTTTTCATAATTTCGCAAACGGCACATAATGCGTTATAATTTAGAATGCCAGATGGAGTGACAGCTACCTTATCCATATCACTTATGATCTTCGTATATTCGTCTTCCTCTCGAGATAAACCGCACTGGTTTTTGCGGTTATCCACAGCTTTCCTTCGAGATACGAGTTCCTCCTCCCTTGCCTGTAAATAGAAATTAAAACCACTGCGTGAATATTGTGTATGATCCGTAATTATATCATCTAACTCGGTGGTTACGATTGAGACACGTATATAGCCTAGGCCTATTTATAATCGGCTAACTTCGAAAACTCTTTGCGGGGTGAAATTTATTATTAGTACGACCCCCCTATAATAGCATGCATCTCCCATTCTGAAACAAGCAAGAGGTCGCCGTAGTAATCGTCGTGGTTTACCTGTTTCGAAAAGTGGCGCAAAGTTAAAACGAACAAGCCGAAAACTATAAGCAAGGCTGCTATCATTTCTAACATAGTGCGCAATTCACTCTCACTGGAAATTACTTTGTCAAAATGGGTTTACTTTGATGTAGGATATGTGCACTGCCGACAGACATCAAACGGTCCCGTGCTTTCTGACAAACTGGCAAGCGAAGTAGATATCTAACTTATGAAAAAAAAAAAAAAAAAATATGTACGTGCAAAAATGTAGTTCTAAGCCTGGCAAAAGTGAGCGATCCACGCTATTTATATCCTGGCACACTTCGGCTTCCAGCGCACAGTGGCGAAAATGACGAAAAAGTCCCGGCGTAAATAAAAAATCACCGTTAATATTATTCACGGAAACGCGTAATTACTCACCTTGATTAATGACAATCGAATGGACAGAGAAGTGTCATCGGATGGGTTGGCAGTCGAGACGAGCAACGTGTTCACTTGCTCCAATATATTATAAGCAGCTTCCAAGATTCTTCCATCGTTCATCGTATTTTCCATTGCGAGGTTTCTTAACAGAGAGATATGAAGCCTAAGCACAATGTAACGACAGACGGCAGCAATTGTTTGTGGTGCATTAAGGTGATATGAAAGGGTCATTCGATATGTATAAAACATAATGTTTATAAACCTTTTATCCAAACAACACCGCATCACTTTGAAGCTTCAGCTCGTGATTACAGGAGTCCTAAGTAAGAACGCGATACTCATGAAGTTTCATTTTTTACAAAAAAAATCTAATCTTGATACTAATATGGGATAAATAAACAAATTCTTTGTTGAAAACTGAATTTCACAAGCCTCGCGTTCTTCCTTAGGGCCTTCATAATCACGTATTGAGATTTTAAACGATTTGATGCACTCTGGAGAAGAGATTTATAAATATTTTAACGTTTTATATATATAGAATGACCCTTTCATATCACCTTAAATACACCCTACACTAATTTTGAGGATATTCAGATTAACCGAGATTCGAATATAATCGGCCGTTTCTGCATTTAAAGTTATTCCAAGTGGGATCACCACTGCAGCACTGGCAGGCCGCAACTGAAATAGCCCATTGGAGGCAATATTATCCTACCAATGAAGTCTCATGCCCACCACGCACTTTGGGAACGCCGAGTCTTCGGAGAAATTCCACGATCGCCTTGCATGGTTTTGCAAAGCTTCATTGCGTAACCGAACTACCGACCGCGATAAAAAATAAACAAAAAACTGAAAACTAGGGGGTATTCATTCAGGAAATTATGAATTTTAACGCTTGAAATCATATGGAAATCACCAAAACATTGCCACGATTTTAAGGCCGAACGTCCCTTGTTATCTAATCGCATTGTTGTTTATATTATGTTATTTTTATCTTATCTTACTTTTCTTTTCGTGCGTCGAAGGCACAAATGAAGTTCGGCCACCGTCTGCTTAAAACTTCTACTCTATTTCGCAATTCTGGAACATCGTCTGGTGAAGACTGACTGAAGATACCGGAGCTTAAAGAAAGTATATTGTTAACCGTGGGCTGAATCCTGGAGATTTCTTGCTCCAATTCGGCCATTCTTATCTTGGATGCCTTGGTCTGGCCACCGTGATTAACTTTTCTTAACAGATCCTCCGACTTGGCCAACCATTCGTTAAGAGTCTGACAAGAATTATTCAAGTCTTTCCATCGATCGAAACACTGGGTCCAACGGTCGTATCTTTCCGTGTAATGACGATTGATACCGATCCATTCATCTTGAAGCTTTTCCGCCAAGCGTCCTACTTGCTCTCCGTACTCTTTCTTCGATTGTCTACTGACGCCTTCGCACAAGTAATTGACCTCCTCGACGCTAGGTTTCAATATGTTTAACGCGTTTTTAATCTTCTTCAAGCATTCCTCTTGACTCAGGAACGATTCATAGTCTTTGCCGTTCAATGGCGACGAGTTCAAAGATCTCGATACGGTGGACAATGCTTCTCGCAATTTGGTGGTCCTCGTGATAAAGTCTTCGGTACTGACTCCAACTCCCTGCAATTAAATATAAAAATAAAAATCAGTGTGTAGTCACCACGCGCGTCTATGTTAAAAGCTTCTATGTTAAAAAAAATTATTATTAATTATTCTTATCCAGATAGAAATCCATGACTATCATATGAGGAAAATCGATTTACAATTTGCAGACCATTTGATGCATGAAATGTCTACAATATATGTACGCACATTACACAATACATTTGAAGAAAAATTATCCTACATACCAACTCCACTTTTTTGTCGGCGACGTGTTTGTCCTTGTCCTTACTGCCACTGTATCTTTTAAACTGAGAGCTGATCTCCTGCCATCTGCTGTTAATGTTGTACCTCTGCGTTTCGGAATAGCCTACATTCATTTTTTTCAATTCCACGCTGAGTTCGTTGAGTCGTTGAATCTCGTCTTGCATCCGATCGAATTCTTCGGTGAACTGTTCGAGCTGTCCCTCGTAATTGTTTGCTTGCTCGAGTTTTAATGGTGCCTCCTCGAACCAGTTCTCGAACTCGGAGACAAATTTATTGTATTGTTTCAAAGCCTCCTCGGCTTTTTGAGCTTGTATACGCCGAGCTTCGGTTTCGGACATGACTTGATGCCACTTGCTGCGAAGCTTATCCTGGTGCTCGTTCTTGATTTTCTCGGCTCTTGTAGGATCGGTCATGTGAACAGTCATGACCAAGCCGTCTCCTTTGCTTATCAAGGTGGCAGCATCCGGAGCAAGACAGCTCAGTTCACTCTTGAGGATCTAAATTCAAAAAAACGTACTTAGAAAAATATCTACCGATATAAGTACAGTTCACTTATAATCTTATAATTTTCTACAAGTATAATATGTTCATTAAAATCATGGCAGTTGTATTATACGACATAGGATTACTGATATGCAAATTCAGGGGCAAAACTAAAGAATGTACCGATGACAAAATAAGAGAATACATTAAAGGGTTACGTACCTCCAGTCTTTTGCAAGGATCTTTCTCATTAGTTACTCCTCCGATAGTCATTAACATCACGTCCATTCTACGCAACATCAATTGAGCCGCTTGTTCGAACTCTATAATATCTCTTTCCAGTCCAGCTCTGGATGGGCTCGTAGGGCTACGAAGTGATCTCTTATCTGGAGACATCTTGGCATCCGTCTTATATGAGCCGGCTTGTGGTAACTTATCGATCCTTATCTACATTTAAAAAATCGGGTTGCAATTATCCTACCCTACTGCTCCTGATAGTGACGTGACAAGTCGAATACTACGTCAACTCGAGTTACAATAGAAATGACTCGAGTCCATTCAAAGATTATGGGTTGAAACATTCTACTTGTCGCATCCCTAGCTTCTGGCTACCTTAAGGTGATATGAAAGGGTCATTCTATATATACATTCTATATATAAACATGAAAATATTTATAAAACTTTTCATAAAACTGGGTACACCAAGTAATTTGAAACTCCAACACATGATTATGGAAACCCTAAGGAAGAACGCGATGTCCATGAAATTTGATTTTTCAAACAAATTTATCCTGGGGTCTAGTCTGGGATAAATAAACAAATTCTTTGTTGAAAACTGAAAGTTCACGAGCATCATGTTCTTCCTTAGGGTATCCATAATCGCATGCTGAAGTTTCAAATGATTCGGTGTACCCAGTTGGAGAAATGTTTTATCAATATTTTTACGTTTTATATACATAAAATTGCCCTTTCATATCACCTTAATCCTCTAACAAAACTACGAATACAACTGTCAACTACGACTGCACTGTTAATCGCATGTTATTCGAGAGAATGGCAAGGCGGGAAGCATTCTGCATTACCTTGTCCAAGAGGTGTTCAACATGTTCCCCTAAGCTAGCGTCTTCCCCTTCCGAACTGGAACTACCAACGTCGATCTCGGTATCGTCCGAGAAAATGAGTACATCGTCCGTCTCCTTATCACTCCCATAAAAGCTCTCGCAGTCTTCCAGCGTATCATCCGAAGAGACAATTCTCTTAACTTTCGTTAAAGGCGACTTCCTGGGCTGCCTAGCATCGTTCGCACTAACGTTTCCAATTATCTCATGTGTCTTGGAGAGCTCCACCTCCCGCTTGGAGGTAACCTCTTTGACATTCGCAGACTTATCGTGGACCTTCTTCCTGGCGCCATTGCAAGACCTGACTTCCAGGTTCATTGTTGCACCAACTTCGCTGGACTCGACTCGGGGTTTGTCCTCTTCCAGGATGAGATACTCCGCAACGCTCTCTGGATCCTTCAGAGCAGTGACCATGGTCTTCTCGGTCCTGTTAACTTGATCCGTAATTTTTAAACTAATCGAAGCAAGGTCCTGAGGAGTCGGAGGTGGCGTCGGGGTGACCCTCTTGGCGACCTTGAATCCCGGTACCAGGCTCTTTGGGGGAGACTTCAACGCCTCGTCCAGAAGCTCGGCAAGGTCGGCTCGGTCGTTCCCGGTATTCAACTGGATGGTTAATTTCCTTCCAGCTTTCGGGATCGGCTGATCCGCGAGTCGCTTCTTCTTCAGGATGGGGACCAGCTCCTTCCTCCTGATCGCCGGACTTCCCTGGTGAACCCCGACCATCTTGTTCCGGTACTCCTTGTCCTCGGAGTCCGTGTCCACGGATTCTGGCTCGGTCTCTGTATCTTCCATGATCTCTACTCTTTCTACCACCTGAGGAACTTGTCCTACGCGAACGTTCGCGCTGGAGAGGACGACGCGTTCCTCGGAGGACGCGAACGACTTGACTATCTCCCTTTCCTTGACCTCGACGATGTGGAAAGGATTCGGCTGCACGTTGACGTCTTGGATGGGTCTATCGCCAGTGGCCGTCAGGGTATTCGCCGAGACTTGAGAAAACAGCGAACTGTTCTTCGAGAGGAAGAACTCCTCCTCGTCGTCGCCGACCCGGCCGTCCTTTTCGGAACAAGAAGAAGGCGACGATTCGTCATCCGAGCGAACAACTGGAGGCTGAGAGGTCTTAACTACGTCGGGGACGGAGCTCATGTCTAATTTGCGTCTAACGGTCCTGCTAACGTCGGCGAGCCTAAGCTTGCCCTTTTCCGATTTGCTGGAGGATTTCCGACTACGAAGTGGAACGTCAATTGGGGTGCTTTTCGGGGTTGCGGAGGCGCATCGATTGTCGTCGAATGCAGGATTGAGATATCCTATACCGTATGCCTCTTCGTCCTCGTCTACTAGCCTATTGCCATTTTTAACTGCAAAATTTGGAGCTTGTTCCGGGTACCTATTGTCTCTCCCCTTAGTATCGACCGGCTTAGCTTTTACGAATAAATTGTCAGTTATCTTGTGGATCCATTCCTGCGAAAACATTATTCTTAATAACAACTTGATGATCAAGCGTCGGTTAGGCGATAGAGAGACTGTTAATGGGATGATAATATCAAGCCAGGCGAGATGAGGGAAATTATGAGCCTCGCGGTACAAACGAAGCTTAAGGTGATATGAAAGAGGCATCAAAGAGGCGTTTATGAAACTTTTCTCCGAACTAGGTATACCGAATCGTTTGAAACTTTTCAATGCGAACATGGAGACCGTAAGGCATGTCCTGGCCCTCGTGAAATTTCAATTTTTTAGAAAATTTGTTATAGACATTTAGAAAATTGTTCACAAAAAATGAAACTTCACGGGTATCGGGACTTTGCTTACAGCCTCAATATTCACGTTGTAAAATTTAAAACGATTTGGTTCACCTAGTTCGGAGGAAAGTTTCACGAACGATTGACCCCTTCAATGCCATTTTCACATCCCCTTAACTTTCTTTTCTTCTCCGTCCAACACCAGTGCAAGAATCGACGGGACGCTTTGTTGCGCGAATATGCCTTTCGAGTATGCCCGTTCAAGTGCTTACGGGGAGAGACAACGATAAATAATATCGGTGATAAAGATACGTAATTCCCTGATACATCCAGCCACCAGAATGTCGCAGCTATGTCGGCAGAAGAGTGCATTATTTACATAAATATGTGCGACTCCGTGAAACCTAAACCTTGGACAAGCGAGAGACACCTCTTGGACAACAACGCAATGACTTTTTGCAACGGTCGTACATTAGGTACTTGTGTATCATACAGTGCAGTCACGTTGTAGAGAATACGATAAACACTTGTAGCAATATACATATGCGATATAATGAAATAACCACAACACGAAGAAACGTAGCTGGTCGAAGTAATGAAACAATCGGTTCTTAATTGCAATACGGTATTGTTACGCCTACATTTTAGGAACTTTGACCGCTTTCGAGGTCAATACCAAAACGGTTCGTTCACCTGTTAGTGATGAGTCGATTGAGCTTATACGAGTTCTTAGACCTTAAGTAGTTGATATATCGATAAACCGTATTAACGCATAAATAAAAACGCGTACCAAATGTTAAAATGTCAAGCAGGTCGTAAAGCCATGAATGATTAAGCGGTGGAAGATCAAAATGAGCAGAACGTTATATAGTATTAAAAATATATATGTATACTGCATAGTATCAAATAGAAAATATTAAAATGTCGGGTGAATGTTAATATCATAATAAAGCGTTATTAAGTAAACGTACTTGGATCCTACGCGAGATGTTTTCCCACTTCTGACATATTTCGGTTACTTTCGGGTAGGAACAGCGCTGCAATTGCGTGACTTTCGATTTCGTTTTTATCATCTCACTTTGTATAACCTGATAACAAAATAAAAAGGCAATCACTCGGCAGTAATGAAGTATTCCACAAAACCAATCTCGTTGTCGGAAGAGATATTGCCAATGAATTTTTTCTATGTTACTTTAAGGATCGCCATGCACATTGAATCTGGAATTACCTTGCATTGCTCAAGATGCTGTTCATTGAGCTGGTCCACAGGTACCGCGTCCAACTTATTTAATTTCTCTTCTGTCTGCTGCAGCCACGCGTTTATTTCATCGACGTTGGGTTCGTCCTGAATAGAGGATCGTTATGATGTCTCCATTGAATGGATATTAATTGATAAAGCAATAATTACCTCCGACCCGCTGCAACCTCTTAGTCTTTTTTCAGTACTCGACAATCTCGCTATAATGTCTGATAATTTATCCCGAAGTTGGGCTAAACAAACGGGATCGCAAAGTTTCGAGAACTCCTCTTGTGATCTGAATAGCTTGTCCTTCACGACGTTTAATCTCGGGATAACTTCGGTTAAAGTTTCCTACAAGACAATCTATGCTTTACTCTGAGTCTACTAATAAATCAGCACAAAATCTAAAACTTACTGTGACATATATCGCGTTAATAGGTAAATCAGGCATATTTCTTTGCGTATCCAGTTCCTTGTTGATACTTTCAACGGACATGTTGATGTACGTCATGTGCTTGTACATGTCTCGCGACAAATCCAACGCTGACTCCAATATCGCCTTAGATTCGGTTATCTGCAAACCAAGCTGCACAAATTGTGGAAATTAACCCGACGAGTGTCAATTAACAGATTTACAAACTAATAGGGTAAAATGTGCACGCCTATGTGTACCTTGTTATACAAGTCTTTCAACGTGTCGATTTTCTTGGAAAACTTCTTCGGATCTGGAACGTTCTTATCCTCGACCAATTTTCTCCCAGTAACTATGATGCTTTCGATCTCACTTTTGATTTCACTAAGTGTTTGGTAAGAGCGCTGAAAGAATGTAAGCACTGCGTTGTAAAAATGCAGATGTAAATCTAAAGTAACGGCCAAAATGTTTAAATCGCCCAGATATAAATTCACGATCATCATATAATGAGGAAAATCGATTTACAAACAATTTGCAGACCATTTGCTGCACGAAATGTGTGCAATACATGTACACGCATATTGCACGATAAGTTGAAGAAAAACTTGCGGTAAATTTGTCACGCCATGGCTCAAATATGAACTACTATTTTTTGTTCGTCATTCTGTACCGTGGATATGAGTCCGCAATGAGGACTCATGAGCAACACCCTCATGACTCGTTTCATGATCTTTTAAGGGAAAAATTGGGTTCAAATTTTTCATCTACTTTGTTTATCTGGGCGTGATCATGCGACAAATACCCGAATCTGTTGCGCAGATGAGGAAAGAGACTTACAAGGCAATGCTTCAGTTGCCCTTCTATCGTTTCCGGATCTTCCGACGCCAACTCTAACAAGCAAGTGGCTTCTTCGATACTTCTAAGCTCCCTGAGAGCCCTTGACAATCTGGGTTCCAAATTAGTTGGACAACGAAAACGTTGGAACTTCCTTTGTACTTCGGAGAACTTCTGCTCGATAAGAGACATCTGCTCTTGCAGTCTCGCCGCAGCTTCGTGTTTCCCGGAGGCTTTGTAAGCTTCAATTTGGGCGGACATTTCGTGAAGCGTGGCTTGCTGGTTTTCCATCTCCTCGACGAGTTTCTATCGGAAAATCACTCGATCAGTTTTCGATTACCAAACCTTGATATTGCTCCCAACAGCTGTTAAATATTTTCCGTGTTCACCGTCAATTTTTCTTTCATTTGAATAATTATCCTGCATTGATCATAATATAGCATCTAAGACGATGAAGACATAGAACACATATACATTCCAACATGCTGTACGAACACAGCATGCTCCTCGTACACAATGTTTGAAAATGGAGCTTTTTGGTCTATTTGATAAGGCTCTTTATCGACTTTTCAGAGAGTACCTTTAAAAGTACAAAAATTGCAAAGCACACAGTCTTGAGGGAAATGTGAACTTACGAACATTTCCCAGTTACGTTCTGAGCTAAATCCTACGCACATACACCCCTCCCTTAATTTACGAGGCACTTTTTTCACGCGGTAATTTTAATCATTCTTTTTTCTTTTGTTATGCTACTTGAAATAAATATGTATTTTTAAAACTTATATGTACTAGCTGATTGAAGCTTTATTTATGCGATTTTCATTCGCGTAAAACGGATACTCCGCGCAAATTGAGGGACACCTGTAAACTGTTTATTTACTCTTTGAATGATCCATTATGGGATCATTTCTGGTAATATAAATGACAGTATAGAATTATAGCAGACCTGGTACTCGTGTGGTAAGTCATCGGCAGTCAGATCGCAGACAAGACGTGCAGTTAGTACGGAGTCTACTTGCGTTAAGGAGTGCTGAAGAGCTAGAATGCGTCCTTCCGAGAGTTGCGCTTGCCTCACCGATCCTTCCAACAGCTTGGCCCGTTCCCCGGCCTACTCAACAATAGAACTATCTGTCTACCTATCTTACTAGTAACTTCGACCGATATCTATTTTACGCCAGACGTACGAATAGAACGAATCCATGCTTAAGCATATTCGCACGAGGCACATTTGATGGAAATTTTGCATCCCTTTGTCTATCTGGGAAGTTACTCTCATCCAAAATTAAGTGTATTCTAATTAGAAGCTAATTTTCTAAATTATGAACAAATACTAAGCTTTCGGATTGAAAGCGAAACAGATAATACACTCGGGAACTAAGAGCTTGCGCACTGTGCTCATGCAAATTAGCATTATTTATGGACAGTGAGCGCAATCACTTATTGCAAATTGTACTATTAATTATGCAATATTCCGAACGAAACTATGGTGCTCTTCATGCTTGTTATTAGCAGTAGCCAAGGACCCGATTCCCGAGTTCATTTGATCAACTTTCGCATGCGAAATTAATAGTTTCGTATACGACTTTGAAATGTGGACCAAAGACGCGGCTTCGCGACAATGCAACATTTTTTATGCGAATCTATTCGCATGCGAAAAAAATCCGTATGAACTCGACAATCGGGGTCCCATATATTGCACTTATGTAAGCTTAAACATATCATCGAATACATCTCCCAACCTTCCAAGCTTCAGCAATTTAGTCACTGTCTGCGTTTATTAACACGTTCGTTGCAAACAGAAAGTAGGTGCTCCTTGGCAAGTAAACGATTCCATTCTTTTACAGATTGCTTTCCATGGACAGCCGGCAAGTCCGTCACAACGATCGTGCTAACAAGTAACGTATAAGGTGCGGTTAACACGATAAACTTACCAATTTATTTAAATTTTCCCATCGGTTGATTAATGCTTCCACGTCGGACTGAATAGACTGCGACATGATGTCGCTATCGACGAGCTGCTTACCGATTTCCTGAATCTTCGAAAATCGGGGCTCTGGGTGATTTCGGATGTAATTTTCCAAATCCTATAATGCACCGTAAAAGTACTCGTTATCGAATGTGAAACACCCTTTAAATCAGTCGACTCGAAACGAAATACAGAATATGCCATTTAGTAGAATACCCAATACAATTCGAAAACGCTGTCGATACAAGTACGGGAGTCGGTAATGCAAGTATTTAAAAGAATCCTTTTTACCGACGCCGGTCAAATTTCTCGACGTGTTTCACTTCACCTTAAACAACGCAGGAAGGAATATTGTACGTACATCGAGTTCCTCCGAAATCTCTTCCGCATCGGCTGCACGCATTGTCGACTTTTTCAAACGTTTGTCCAATTTATCCAGCCAGTCGCTTTCTTGAGCAACTAAGGCCCGAAATTCTCCATACTCGTGACTGGCATTTTGAAGTTGCCTATATCGTTCATAAATGCGATCCGTAACGTCGGTCCATCGTGCGTTCAAATACGTAAAACGTCTTCCAAGCTCCTGAACGGACGATCCCTCGGAGCTCAATAACTTGTCACTTCCCATTTCATTGAGGTTTCGAAACTCCTCAACTCGCTTATCGACCTTATCTTTCAATATCTGGTAACGACCCCGAACTTGAAAGAGCTCGACGGACGACGTTATCTTAATCTCGACCGGTATTTCCTTTTCCAAAACCGCCAACCACTTTGTAAAATCGTCGATTCCATTAATGATCTGTAAGTAAAATTAAATAATGACTGCTTGTACAATTTACTGACAAACGCTAGGCATATCATGCCACTTTACCATAAACTTACTTCGTCATTTTTCTTCAGAGCGCTTTCAAACTTATCGCTTTGAGATTTTGTCCCATCGACGATGGCGTGCCATTTGTGTGAGATGGTTTCCAATTTGCCGTTCAGAATACTCGCAAAGTTGGGCTCTGAGTTTTCGAGTAAGGTATTGGTCGACGTCTGCAAGCTTTCTATTCGTGGTTTAGTTTTCTCGATCTCCGAACTCAAGGTTTTGATTTGATGTAGTTTCAGTTCGGTTGTTTCAACGTCATTGACTAGAGCGTCTTCCGATATCTCTTCGAGACATCTCGCCGTTCTTCCCATCCATTCCTCGAGATTGCTCAGCTCGGAGTTAAATGTGTTCAATGAATCAATATCTGAAATCATCCATAAATGCATTCAGTGATTCGCATGCAACGATTATTAAATCTGTAATACTGAAAAAAGAGATATACCATTGGACAGCTTTTGTTGCCTCTCGTCTAGTATAATCGGAATGTCGCTCCATTTCGTATTTAAATCCTGCAACTCTTCCTTAAGTCTTAGACCTTGCGGATCATCGCCCATCTTTTCTATCAAGTCTTGGCCGGTAACGTTCACATAGTTGAAATCATGTTGATGCTCCTTCAAAGCATCCTGAAGGTCTTTAAATTTCTTCACTTGTTCCTGCATAGTTTTCTCATCGGACATGACCGCATGTTCGGAAAGTAAGACACCTTCTACATTGTTTATGAAGGATAGGAGCTTTGCAACCGTTTCGCTGTATTTCTTTGGCGGTGTTTTCTCGGCAGCGTTACATAATTCGGTTAGGCGATCCGACAACCTGTAAATCAACATAAAACAATCGATATAAATTCGCAAACTGTGTTATAAAATTATATTATATTATACTGACTTTTTATGGAGATTTTCCCAGTTAGAAAATAACGTCGTAATGCTAGCATCGATATTTCGAGCTTCTTCGCCAGCTAGTGGATGTTCAGTCAACTGTTTGGCTTTCTCCGATAATTTTCTAATACGATCCTCGTGAGATTTCATAGACTTCATTTTAACCTGAATTAATGTAATAAATAATTTTATTTAATTAATACCAGGTAACCGGGACCCCATTAACTTTACTGTTTCATATTTAATATGAAGACTTACCCTGAAAGGCTCTATTTGATTATTAGACTGATTTCCGTCAAACCACTTTAGGTATCCATCGAGCATTAGATGTAAACTGGATAAGTCAGTTCTAAACTGCTTTACGTCTATCAGAAAATCAAGTCTTTCTTTAATTTCTGCGAGGCGATTGTTCGTTGCCAGCCAGCAATTCTTGATTTCTTCAAGTTTCTGTTCTTCCTCAGAAGTTGGTTCCTTGGCTTGTTTCAGCTCGGCGATGAGAGATATTCCCATTTTAACGACCTTTTCGTACTCATCTCTGTGCGCTTCGAAATCGGCCAAATTATCGTCATAAACAACTTTCTTTTCTTCGACGCTTAACTCATCGAATACTCCATCCGATCGGCCTATCTCTAAGTCAACGTAATCGAGCCATTTATATAAATTAAGTATTGCCGACTCAAATTCTTGCCTGGTATTGCTACATATGCGTCGTTTCTTGGAATCACTGTGCGATGAAGCCTACAAACGAAAAACAATATTCGTACACAAAATATATAACGAAAATATATATTACAAAATGTTATATTTACCAGAGCTGAAATTTCCTCCTTATATGCTATGCTAGTGACCGTTTCCGTCATCCATTCATTGCCAGTGTGTACGGTTGTTTCGGTTGCAGACTTCAAGTCGAACTCGAATCCAGAACTTGAGATCTGAAGAAAATGACACGTTTAATTACTCTTAAACAATTACGACAATTAATTTCGAACACAGAAGAAATATTACCCTCTGAGTTTGTACTTCCATGATCTGCCCGATAGCATCCAACTGATCCTGAAGGTTCTCCAGCTTTTCCAGGATATTTGTGCACTCCGAAGAGTAGCCCTCGTTGTCTAAATCTTGTATACTCTTCTGAAGTGATATGATTTTATTTTGTTTGGTTTCCATGTCCAGCCTTAAAATTTGCAACTTCTTAATCCTCTCCAGAACTTCCCCGATTTCGGAAGCAGGATTCGCTTCCATTTGTTTGAGAGTGATTTCCGTTTCGTTAAGCCACATCACCAGTTTTTTGTAGTCGTCGATCACATCTTTCCACACGGAGGACTGCATCTGAAGACGTTGCCTCCTTTCTTCCTTCCATTGACAAATGTGGCTCCAACGTTCACCGAGAGCGGACAATTGATCCTCCATCTGAGAATATACCGCTTCGGAGTTCTCTTCGTCTACGACGACCACCATATTTCTCAATCCATCGACTACATTCTGCTGTTGGTGAATGTCCTTTTCTAGCTCGTCCAATTGTTTAATCTGTTCTCCTTGAGTCGATGGGCTGAGCTCGGTAGCCGCCATGTGAGAGATTCTGTCTTCCGTTTTTGTCAGCCACTGCCTCAATGCATCGAGCTGGCCTTGTTGCATTTCCATCAACACCTAGAAAAATAACATAATCGATGTTCAAGTATAATCGTTACATCTCTTCTTCCTCCTATTATTATATTAAGACGTTTATATACAGAGAATCTATTGATAATGAAAAATAAAAAGGGAGACTAAGCTCGAAAATCTTGAATGTCGTTACAAACTTGCAGTGATTCCGTTCAATCGACCTTATTTAGTTGACAAGTAAAAATCCTGGTACCGCGCGAATTTCTTTTCTTATTTTTTTGATAGAAAGTGAATTTCTCGCTCGGTGCAGGGAATAATAGTACCTCGTGAATTCTGGACTGCCTTTCCATGGCGCGCATCCTAAGGCCCTCCCAACGTGAATTCAAAAGCGACATCTGTACGCGGACCTCGTGTTCCTCGTCCTTCTGCAAGCCTCCTTCTGCCAACAACCTCGCGCCTTCTTCAAGAACGGCACCGACCCCATCTTGATGGCCCGATAATTCCATTAAAAAAGTTTCGTGTTCGTGAAACTGTTGCTTCAATATATCTAGCGTGGACCCTGGTTCCGGGGCGTGATTCAATTTATCCTCGGCCTCCAGGAGCCATGTTAAAACGTCCTCCAAAGCGACTTGGTAGCCCCCGAGTTCCACCGAGACATTTGTTGCAAGACTCATCGGTCTTGATGCTGGAGTTCCAAAGTTAGCGAATGACAACGAACTCTGGAATCGAAATAATGAAAGAAATGTTTATACAACAATTACCACACACAAAAGAATATTATGCGAACAACCGAATCGTTCGGCCGACATGAGAAACTTTTTTACTTAAGAATTTTTAGTCGATTTACATCATATACCGTTCACCGAAATATCTGGTTCACCTACAATACTTCCTAAAATTAACTAAAAACTTCCATTAATTGAGTCAGAGTTTGATCAAGTGAACTAAAATTCCAAAACGTTTCTTGGAATAAACCAAATATCAAATGAGCCATTTTTTTCTGCTTTCACCAAAAAAACTTCTTTCTTACCTCGGGTAATGGAGACGTCACTGTACTCGAATCACTTGCGAGAGAAGTATCAACGTCGCCTACGTCGTCGCCGGTGTGAGGTAACGATTGAAAGAGGCACATGACGTACATCATTATCGACTTTTTGTCCGGCACTGACGTATTGACATCTAAAATGGGGATATGCAAAACAGACGCATAAGTAAAAGACGTAACCGAGCGACGCGATTTCGGAACATCGCAACTATACCTTCTGGATCCAGAAGACGTTCGATCCCGAGATGTTCCTGAGCGAGACGAAACACATGATCCAATCTCGCATTAGGATGTTTCCGAGCAAGATTGCTAAAATCGAAGAGATGTGGCCTCCATCTGTGAAGGAGCGCATTGAAGGCCAGTCCGTCCGACCATGAGGTCGTAAAATTTTTTATGTCAACTCCCGAATAATTCTGAAACAATATATAAAATGGTTGTCCTACTAAAAATATGTATATGTATAAAAATATGTAATTCGTTCGATATTGCGAACACTTTCGAATACAGATGGATACTAAATCCAAAAATAGAAAATCAATTGATTTTAAGTGAGACGTAGAAATTCAAAGGTATGACTTTAAGTTTGAAATTGGACCACAAAAAAGGTTACTTAGTGTATACGTATTCAAAGTAGGGTAGTACAATTTCGACATTCGTACACTTGTATATTATATATTATATTTCGAACAAATTTTTTTAACAATGATGCAATTGAATCTAATCAAACGTTAGTTTTGAATCACTACCACGCGTGAAAAAAGAGGGCATCAGAGATTAACATTAATTTTACCTGGGTATTTCGACGACACCAGGCAAGCAGCGTCTTCTCCAAATTGGTCTGCTGCAATTCCGTCATAAGGTCCTTCAGGTGGTAGTGAACCTGCGTGAAAGATTTTTCGATTTTGTTATTACCAATCCCGTAGAAACATGAGGACGATATGCCGTAACGTAACACCGAGATATGACCACCTTACTTACAGGGTACAAGACGGGATCGCAAAGTAAACCTGTCTTACTCCGAGTATAATAGTAAATATATCAAAACAACCGGTTTAACTATTTTCATCAATGGTCCCCGCTTCGGCAATGCACGCAAGAATGAATACGATAAGGCGATAAGGCGATGTGGTTGACACCGGAAAATTTAATCGGTATCGGCAAAAAATACATTCTTTTTATGTAATTGGCTCGAGGAGGTGTTCACTCGGGAAATCATTAAAATCAGGATTTTAACGCTCGAAATCATTCCAGATAGAAATTCATGATCATATGATGAGGAAAATCGATTTACAAACAATTTGCAGACGATTTGCTGTATGAAATTTCTTAATATATGAGTTCCGAATGAGGACTCATAAGCGACACCCTCATGACTCGTTTCATGATCTTTTATAAGAAAAATTTGATACAAATTTTGCATCACTTCCTGGGTTGATTATTCGTATCTCTTATACCGCAACTTTTAAAATTTGCCTTATGTCAGTTCTGTCTGTGGAAAACACGGTAATGCGAAACAATTCCTCTCGCATTAAGGTCGTCTAGGATTCGCATTTTCACTTTCTATGGCCTATGATCGGTGCAGGGCAACCGCAAGCCAATGCACCCATTTACGGCCGGTGCAAGAGTGCGCATTAAAACGTGTCTCTCATTTTATTTCAGATCTTACATCTACTAGGTGTATTTACGGGATAACATCCTGGTCTCTCATTCTTTTCCTTTTTTAGCGTCTTTGCACGGGAGTGATTTGCAGGCGATTAGTGTAGGTCCTGTCTTCCTCCTTTTTCTCGAGGAACCGCCAATAATCTTTTAAATCGGGACTGGGAAGAAGGGGCTTGCACAGGGTGACATCGTTCATTTCGTAAGGTCCCTTTAAACGGGAATGGACAGCTTCCTCGTAAAATCCCGGAGATTTTCGAATTTCGAGCACGCAGGTGAATTTTCTTTTACCACCTTCGCCCTGCATTGCGGAGAATTAAAGTATTACGTTTGTTTTCGCGATACGACCTAATAAGATCCTCACTTTAACTACACCGAGAAAAAAGATGTCATTGAACGAAAGAAATGTTTTGGGAATTCAAACAATAATTATTTCACCCGAATAAATTGTCATAATTTCGAAGAAAGGTTGCATTCAAATTTATTCAAGTTTATTTGAGCGAAATGATTATTCTTTGGATTTACAAAATATTTGTTTGACACCGTTCAAAGAAATATTTCAAATTCCGAAATCGTGGAAATTTGTTTTTTTCGACTCTAATGGGTTTTCTGATGTTAGGGAAATTCAGAGCCTCCCAGAACCTCGAATAATTAAAATGGTCATTTTCGGAATTTGTTTATTTTTTCTAGCAGCTCTGGATGTTGAAAAAAAGTGGCACAAACAAAACTCAACATGGCACGAACATCACAGAAACATTTCAATAAGCCTGTTAATTTTTTTGTGCCTCAAACTGAATTCCCGGTTCACACAGCCAAAATTACCCTATCTTCAACAGGGTAGCAAGGGGATTATTTGAGACAACTTTGCACGCGTATGAAGTGCTGCCAGCCTTTTAAATAAATATCTGTCTTACTTATAACCGATGTTACAATCGTACACTCTCCCCTACCGATAAGAGTCCGCGACAATTGATAATAAATGATCACTAAAAAAAATATTGAACTCACCTGCCAGTGGAGAATGATGCTCCATACCAGACCCAGGGTCAATTTTGGATTTCCATCCACAATGTCGTTGCTGCTAATGTTAACGAGCTTCACCTGTAACAAGACAAATCAATGCGTTAACAACTCCTTGATTAATCAAAAATCACGGTAAATCGCCGTTTAAAGCCTCGGAAAGGTACGCTGCTTTTTCGCCCGATTCATTTTAGCCAAAACGCAAGGAGAGAGGACAATAAGGGACCTTATGCAATATTCAAATATTCCTTAAAGTGTCACTCACGTTGTTCTGTTCGAGAATCTGCAGGGCCTTGTTCACGTTGTTCAGGTGATGGACTCGCATGCGACCGCGCTCTCTTTTCTGAAACAAAAAAACGTCAGCATGAATACTCAAAAGAAAAATTTAATGTCGCCAGCATTCTAAATCCCCCTTCAATAAATCCGTGGATTAAATCCAAACTATTCACAAGAGTTAATAATACTATCTGGACATGTAAAATATACGACGATCAGCTACGTTAACAATGACAAAGTGAAATTTCACTATATAAGTAGTAAAAGGTTTTGATATTCTTCCTAGGAAAGTATAGTTAACGTAGAATAGTTGATTTCACTCCTCCCACGAGGTAATAAAATCTAGTAACCGTTCCGAATGGATGTCGATACTTTCCATAAATGAAATTTTTGTTCTTCCCGTGCGTGCCCTCCACCCTGAAGCATTCATACTCCTACGTCAGAATGATAGCCCACGTGCTCATGCAAATCAAGGCACTCGCAATAGGCACCTGTGCGGAATTCCGAAAGTAAAATGCAAGTGTACAACCCCGCACGTGTCGAGAATAACCGAAGAGATGCTTTCCCCCCTTTCCTCCCCTTTTCCCGCAAAATTCCTAAACGACGAACAACTCCGAGACCCGGAATACTTGGTTCGTGAAATCACGCCGCTTTTTTAAACGTTATCGCCGCTGCACGTGTTCTCACGGTGCGTCTAACGATTGTGGAGCGAAGTGCCACGCCGTTCGGAAATTCACCGGAAGTTGAAAAAACTTCCGCATGAGCGCGACAGTCGCAGCTTATTTGTCGTTAAACCTACTTTGCAAAAAGGAGAAGATTCTCAAATCGACCCGTACCACAGCAGCGAAAATGGAAAAGCTGGCCAAAACTTGGAAAATGAAATTTGTATTTTGGAATTATCGATTGCCAAATTGAGTAAAGGGGTAATTCGGACATTTATTGCCAAATGGACGGAAGCCTAATTGTTACGCACGGTTCCGTACGTTTCCAAACTTGGAAATATTGTATCTTGAAAAATCTTCGGCTACGTGTATATTACATTTCATACCGAAACTTTTAACTGTAGTCTAACATGCGATACTCACATATGCTTTTGATGTAAGAACTTCCAGGAGGGAGAGCAAGCGGTTCCCATCTCTCAGGTCGACAAAGAGATCCGCTACTGGCTCGTGATGATTCTGCAAAACATAAGGACGGAATATTCTCTCTTGCCTTTTTCATCTACCTCGAAAATGAAGCCGCGACGGACACGCTCGGTAAACGATATAAACGATGTAAATGATATTCCGCCCGGTAAGCAGCGAGGTGTTACGTTTCGAAAATCCACGAGTGACTTGGACAACATGTCACGAGATAAAACGCCTTCAAGGTTCCCACTCTCATGGTTAAGGTGATACGAAAGGCGCTGAGAAATTTAATCGACCTCGATAAAATAAAATTCATCGATACCCTTTTTGGCGATAATGCCATTTTGAATACACAAGTGATAACATAAGCTGGCGCGCCACGTCATCGACATTTATATTTATATTAAAGTCTTTTACAGTCTACGTTGAAAATTATACGAAATGAATCGTTCCATGTGTCATTTCAGTAAAATAATTATAAAGAGATCGAAGTCAAATTCAAGAAATTCTCTGAATTCGTGATTTTTATAGTCTAATACCTTTAAGAGCTGCGAATTGATCCACTTGGCGAAAGTCTTCTTCTGCACGTCCTCCCGCTCATCTGCGTACAGAGTAACGAGGATTACTCCTTTATCCGTAATTTATGTAAAAACTTATTCATATCGTGATCATATCTATATTCGTATCAGAAATTATTCGTATCATGTCCCTTCTTCTGTCCCCCATAAATTCGAGACTATTAAAGATGCTAACAGTTACCGATCAGAAGATAGACAAAAGATAGAAGATGGACGAAAAAGATTGCAGCAGATACACGTAAAGATGGAATGGTCAGAAAAGCCACAATTGTGATAACGTTACCTAGGCACTTATTTATTTCCCGTTTAGAAATTATGAGATAGAAAATTGTAGGAGGTGAATTTAAAGATATGTGTCCACTATTGACAAGACCTTATATTTCCCGTAGATCTTGAAGAGTACTATGGTAACATATTTGTTAAAACAATATTCGCATGTGCCCCAAATCTAGTCTATTGGAGAGTTCAACTGATCAATCCAATGGTTCTAAATTCAGTGCCCTTTCTGCGTACTGCTCGTAGGGACAGCCTAGTTCAGCCTTATCAAGTGTTTAGACAACAATGACGTCTTCTCGCCCGTGATCCCTGGAACAGGACCGCTCATGAACCTGCGATCATTTTGGTTTCATCCCTTTATGAATATTCCCTTCAAAATGGAAGATCGATACGGGAATTATTTTAACAGAAATGGGATCTCCTTTATCTAAGAAAATGCTGTCCCCGAGTTTGGGACCCAGGTGAAATTTTTCTGCAATTTAAATCAATGGGGCCGATTGGCTTAAATCGATGCCAACGACCACGTCGATCGGTCACGTCGGATCAATCGAGCGATCGCGTCGCAGATTGAGGTCGCGGGGATCGCCGCTAATCGCACACGACCTCGATCTTCGTCGGCACGATTTGTCTCAAGAATTTCGTTAAGTGTACCGTCGTCTGAGTCTCTCCATCGTCCTTCTCTCTCGCATTTCCCTGGGAGCCTCTCGCCCTGGCAAATGCCAGCCGCGAGGATCGAATACCCGGTCGAAAATGCAGGAACAACAAACACCCTCGGCATATCGCATCGGCCGAGGCGGAATATCGCGGCGAGGATCTCCCACGAGGAACAGAGAGAGATATCTTGAAATTTCACCCGAGTCGCAGCCGCGAGAGTAGAGACGAGACCGGACGAATATTTTACCGACTCAGATTACTCGAATTCGAAAACATCGGCAATTCTAGTTTGGACGCGAGTCGACAACTCGGCGAAGGAAGAAGAAACGCGATCGAGTCATTTTCTTAAGGGGATGTGACAGTGACATCCGAAAATGAAGGAAATATTTCGGAGCACTTGGATCCATTTTATATACGTCTCTTTGAGCGGTTATACATCTTGTTTTGAACCATAAGTCAATTAGTATTTCTATAAATCTACAAAATATAGACTTGTCAATAGTAGATTCGCCTCCGGTGATTTCACCTCCTACAGCTCAATCGTTCATGGAACTTTTCTTCGAACTGAGTGCACCGAATCATTTGAAACTTCAGTACACGATTATGAAGGTCCTAAGGAGGAAGGCGATGCTCATTAAATTTCATTTTTCACAAAAAAGTGGGATCTTAGTTCCGGTCTAAGCTAAATAAAAAAAAACCTGTTTTTTTTTTAATGAAATTTCACGAACATCGCGTTCGTCCTTAGGGGCTTCATAATCACGTCTTGAAGTTTCGAATGATTCGGTGCATCCAAGTGGAGAAAAGTTTTATAAATATTTTTACGTTTTACATATAGAATGCCCCTTTTACATCACCTTAACGAGTCGAAATATTCGACTCGTCACATCCCTACGAGAGACGACCGCGTGTGCAGAATTTCAGGGCCCCTCGGCCCCTGTAAATAACGCCGATCCGCGTTCACCCCCGTTTACGAGGGGCTTATAAGTTATCGAGAGGACCTCCCCCGGCTCCGCAAAGCGGAAAATCGGCCGCCCGTAAGCGTCCCGAGGGCATGCAAATATATTCCACGGGGCACTGGCTCCCACCGAAACTTAAATTAAAGCTCCGCAGCCCCATCGCCGAATTGACCGCTCGAGGAGAGTCCACCCCTTTGCCGAGCCCCAAGACTCGTCGCGAACGATGCCATTTCGATGTTAATCGCGCGTTAATTGTTCGCCGAACCGAAGGAATTAAACAACTCCGAAGAAAACGCCCTTTCGACTTGTCGCTACGTCGGCGGGAACGCCTAAAGCGATCTATCCCGAATCGACAATTTTTACCTTATAAGGTGACGTGAAAGTGCGGGAAAGAGGTTCCGTTTATGAACATTTTTCTCCCAACTGAGTGTACCGTTTAAAACTGTACGTAGGGTTTAAGTGTGTCGTTTAAAATTTGGAGTAAACGCAGAAAAAAACCAAATATTTCGTTGACGTGACCAAACTCTTTGGTTAATAATGTTTGGTTGGTCACGTCTAATATTATGGTAGGTCACATCAAACGTTACGAAAAATCTCATCAAATTATTATGTAATTTGGTACACCCGAAAGCATTTTAATCTCCCTGCATCTTCTTCGAGAAATACGTTCGTTCGATAAAAGTTTACCCGGTAAAGGTGAAACGTTTAGGTGTAAAGTGACTTCCACGTGCCGAAGTCTTCAAAAGGTACAAAGTGACGTTTGAGGAGGTTTCAGGAGTTGTGGCGTTCGCTACCTTTCGAGTTTACGTGCGGCAACAGCATCGTGGGCACTCACCGGGCCGTTTGCCCGTCCAAACCATGAATTTCCCAGAGTTTTGACCGAAACGGGGGATAAGTGACCCTCGCACGAGGAAGATCCGGAAGTGTCAAGACCGGAGCGAAGTGCACGCCGGAGCTGGACCAAAGTTGGGAGGAACAAGGGAGCATCTCGATTCCTCGAGCAAATGGCTCATTGATTATGTACACCGAGGAGAGTGGAGGCTAGGAGGACGAACCCAATGTTATAAAAGTTTCCGCAAAATCGGTTAATCTTCCCACGAAGTAGTACAAGGAAATACAACGCCATGAATGTTCATAATTAATTCATTCACGAGAAATATTTAGATTGCCGTAGGTAATCTCGCCTAAATTTGTCGTTACGTACGCATAAACAGATATCAGGGTTAATATTTATTTGGAGATTTATGCGAGCAAAATGTCTACACGGCGATCACTCGTAATCGAGAGTCCGTACTTGTGCCTCGCTTTCGGCATTAAACGATGTCTTCTACCCATGGTCTTAAAATGGCTAAAACACGTATTTAACCCTAATAGGGAAGTAGAAGGGAGTCAATGTTTCTATAAACTCTGGATTGTAAATCCTTCGACAAATGCAGCGCCTACACGGTGATCTGTGCCCCTTCGCAGCCTCGAGGTGAAGACGCAACGGACGAAGCTTCTTCTCGCACTGAAGAGAGACCCCGAGGAGGGCCTCCGAAGAGAGGGAGATAATTATCGTTAATTATCGGAGCAAACGCGCCGTTACGTCCGCTCGTTGACCCTCTCGGGGTCGCGAAATTCAGGTCGCCCCTGGGTGAGTCCTGTACCGCTAAAAGTGTATCGATATTTCGAACACTTTCGAGTACACCCGTATTTGAAAACCAGGAACAGCGTACGTTTATACTAAGTTTCGGAGAAATGTTTTTAACTACGCGACTCCTTTGGGCCCGAGTCTTCTTTTAATGGCCGACCGACGATCTAGGCTTCGTTTCCCTTAGGAGCGGGCCCGAGAAAAGGAGAAGCACAGGTGCAACGGCTTGGTCGTAGAGTTCGCGGGGATGAATGGACGCGCCCTCTCTCTCGCTCTCCCGCGGTCCCCGATGACTCCCTCTCCGTCGCACCCACGTGCGCCGCTCGCGAATGGCGATCACGTAGCCGGCGAGAAGTAAGCCGTAATGTCCGCGCACGTAAGTCGGCGTATATATGTACCCCCGTGGTCGAGAGCGAGCTCTCCTTGTGAAACCTTCCGCTTGCCGAATATGGTGCAACGGGCTCTCGAGAGGGCCGATTTCTTCTGGCATCTTGGGCCTCTCCTCCCTCCTCTCTTCCTCTCCTTTGCCGAAACGGTGAAATATCACGCGGGACCCCGAATGGGCCGGATCGAGAAATTCGGAGAGACATCCTCGAGGCGATGCGAGAGACGCCGAAAAATTGAATCGACCTCGGTAAAAAGACTAGTAGGGTAAAAATTTCGACTCGAAAAAAAGTCACCGGATTTGCGCTCTCCACTTCTTTGTCATCCAGACCGTACGCCGTCTCGAAAGTTTAGTCTCCTCCCTGTACAAACAATCGATCCAGGGCCGAGCACGGAACAAAAGGGGATTGTGAGAGCGGATAAATATTTAGAATCCCCGGATCGGTCGTACACCTTCCGGCTCTCGACCAAATAGAAGAGCCAAATTCGGGAATGGCACGTCCACCCCATGCGCGAGTACTTATTTATTGTAAATGACGACGAAGAAAAGTGCAAAGGCAAAAAATTTAAGATTGAAATATACCCTCACGAGTCTCAGAAGACATTCTGACAGAAGTACACGTGGAGTAAACCGGGTTAACGTGCAGAACGAAGCGATCGATAAGTCAACAGTCGCGAGATCGAGATCGAGAGCTCGCCTCTGGTTAGGGCCCGACGAAATCGTGCGTCGACGAGACGGCACGAGTGAATCACTTAATCATCCCGTTGTCGAGCCCGACGAGGAGCACTCGTCCGACGTCTGGCCTTTAATGAAGAGAGGTTCGTGCCATCGTCGAATCGAGTGGCCAAGTGGGCGCACTCGTTCCTCTCCGTTTTGCGCGACGCAACGCCGAGTACCCGAAACGAGTGTCAGCAAAGTACGAAGGGATGGCCCTTCCTCCCCCGACAAGAGGGGAGACAATTGGCCCCGTTAGAAAATGCGGATCGATCGGTATCGATCGGCCAGACCCAAGTGCAGGGTCCCAGGATTCCGCGACGAACTCCGAGAGCAAAATCAAAAGGACCAAACACGGAGACTGAACCCGAGTCGAGATTTCAGCCTTACTTTGGTCCAATTTCCCTC